CCCCTCCCCTCCTTCCCCATTAGAATCTCCAAACTCCATTGGTTGGTTGAGTTCGGCTATTGTGTATAGGGAGGTTGGCAGAATTGGCGTCTCACCGAACACTTTCACTAATAGCCTTAAGAATTATTTATTTATTTCAAATGGCAGGCGTTTTGATAGTTATCATTAGCCCTTTAGCTGACTTCGGGCTTCACAGGGGGAAGGAACATCAAAGTAACAGAAAGTCGAGGGGTGGGGAACAGAAGAGTGATTTACATATGTAAAGAGACAGACATGAAGGCAGAGAAAAGGTAGGATGAGTACTGCGCCAGAAGTAAATCACCAGTTAATAGACTTTTTTGCTGTATGAGTATACGTTGCCCAGGGTGCACCACGTGGAGGTAAGTCTATCACGCACCCCGCCTTAAGAATTATTATACGCGTTGATCTTGAACTCTCCAAGGCATGTTTTGCTATTACTGACAAAACTATGAAATGTGTGGTTGTGAAGATCACCTGAAATTGATTAGCCCAAGGTCAAACGAAGACAAGGTGATTCTGAAGATGCTTGGAGTGAAATCAAGGCTTTTACGAGTCCTATACTATCTGGTTTTTGGGTTTCGTTCCAAAGTCTAATTCTCATGATATTTTTCCCCTAAAATTCTCGAAAGTTCCTACAGTCTTAAGATATCTAAGATTAGATATATATATATATTACCCATTATCGCCGATCGTGTTCTTGTGGTTCTGGATATTGAGTTACCACTGACTTCTATCATTGGTAAATAAATTCAACTATATACCAGTTTTATTCTGTCAGGTGAAGAGTAGGTGCAAGCACTTTCAGTCAGAAATTTTCACTAAATTTTCCACATTTCCAGTGTTGAAAACGCGTACTACTTTATCATTTTACCGTCGGGTTCGAGAGGACTAGACCATGAATCGATCAAATTGGATGCGGTTGTTCGAGCAAATACAGAACGCAATATTATCTACCTACGCGCATTGCCAACTGAAAATATGACTTCCATTATTCTTGGTATCCTACAGGAGCAGCTTGTCAAACCATCCACTCTACAGGTAATCAATTAATTAATTGAAGCACTTTAACACAAATGATCAATAACTCATGTTAATTTAAACAATGTAATTTTCTAATTTAATGGGAATTGCGGAGCTGTTTGTTGCTTGGACACGGTTGATTTGACGATAATTCGTGCTGGAACTTGGAACGTACTACTTTTGCATAATTATTACAAAGTTGGTTCACCTTTGGCACTATTAGAGTGCGCTTCGGAAGAACCTAGTACAATCAAAAATTGATTAAAATCTTCGTAGAAGTGGGAGAAATAGGGGTTTTGGATGCCTTAGAGATACTGATGATATTTTTTGTAGGAGGAATCTTTATTTCTGCGAATAAGCTCTCAAACATCTTGTAACGAATTAAACAATCCACTGTTTATTGACCACTACGTCACTAGCGCACGCAGATTTGTTTATAGAATACTCTTTTCTAATTCCTCTTGTATTGATTTTGAGAACCTTATCCAAGTTATTCTGCTAACAGGCAATCTACGCATCAGTTTGGTGGAAAGGTAGTGACACTGAACCTTCAACTTCAAACACTGCATCCAAAAATACCCTGGTTGACTACGCATCTGCTCGCGCTGAGGTTGCCAAACTGCGAACCCACCAACTTCCAGCAGCCTCAGGCTACGAGGTCACCGCAACCTTAGTCAGCCCCTATGACGCTGAACCTCCCAGTCCGCCTTCCCTCCCCTCCACGGATGATTGGATGTGGGGCCCTGGCAACGCATCAAACCTCAGTTTTGGTGAATGGCTCCAACGATATGTCAACCCTGGTCTTAGTGATTTGAAACGATTCCTCAATTTAAATATTTATTCGCAGTACCTGTACTCAGTCACTCTTGATGCTCTAGAGTGGAGGTAGGTTTTTTTATGATTTTCTCTCTCGTGGTTGCTTTCTAATAATGTAATAACAGGCAATATCGTTTTAATTTTTTTTTTCAGTAAACTGTCAAAGGACCGCACTCATCGATTCTACACGTCTGCCCAATTGTCTAATGTTCTCAATTCTCTTGAGGCCTACTTGGGTCAACATGCTTCAGAGCGGAGTCTATCGAATGAAACTTATGAGGTGCATGGAGGTTTACATCTTGTAGTAGTTATTGATTCTCCAACGCGAGAGTACAATGCCACCTCGCGCAAACCTCTTCGCTTTCATATTTCTGGAAGTTCTAGATCCGATCCACCATCAAGTATTGCTCTTGTTCCTCAATGGGGAGCTTTTATATCTGTGGATGATGTGGATATTAGCTTGGAAAACCTAGGTGGGGTTTTGGTGAACACCATTCGGTCGTTTGTTGGACTTTTGGTTCGCAGTCAGGACGTTGTCACCGTTGGTAGGAGTGGATCGAAGGTCTTGCTGGAGAGTGGTTTAACGACTGAAAAGATTGTTAAATGGGAGGTTAGTTTGTTGACTTTATTGATGATAAAATTTTATGAAGTAGTACTTTAGGCATAGATGGAAATACTTTTGAACCAACTCTAGATAACTAGTGATAGTTTATTCAATTATTTAGTTTTTCTATAAATTGTTTTTCAAAATTATGATATATCTACCTGCTATTTATATTAATGTACAATGTTTCCAATTGTTTCATAAAGTTGGACCTCTGGTTGCGTAGACGTGCGATTGAGAGTCTCTCTACGGCTGTGTTAACTCTAACATCCTTGGTTCGTACTATAGAGAGAGTGCCAACGATGGTCATCAATTGGGAGACAGCGAGCCGTGTGAAATCCGCCGTTTCAGCTTGGTCGGAGGCAGTTTCGGAATTGGCTTCTCCTCCTTCCACATCTTCGAAAAATCCAGGAGCTAAGGCCTTTTGTGCCGCACGCATCGCACTGGAAAATGCTGATGCTGCTTTCTTTGATCATAGTCTATTGGATCTTCTCTATTTCCCTGTAGGTTACCTTAGTTATTAATCCTTAAATTAGCATTTATTCCCTCATTTGTGGAAACTTTGTTCGTTTCAGTCTGATCAAGTATTTGGAATATACGTGCCTCTTTTTGTGCCAATTGGACTTCCTCTTATCGCTTCCGGCGTGGCGGTATTAAGATTCTTTTTAAAGAAGTCGACATGAACGACCTTGTTAAAATTGCGTTAATCCTCTGATTTACCTTCTGACTTTCAAGTTTTCGCTAATACCATTAAATATCTCTTTAATACATAAATTGTGTTGTTTACATATCATTGCTCGACTTTTCTTCTCGGTGGAGGAATTCAGGCGCGTGTAGGGGTTTGGGCTACTTTATTGCAAATAAATGATTGCTCCTATCAAAAAACAGAATAAAATATGTGTGCAGCTGCCATTATTTAGATGTGTAAAAAACTAATGATACGCCATGAACAACTTTAAAAGGAATGCAATCATAAAATTAACAAAACTATTGTTGTTTTAATTCATCAAATTGACCCAAAAACGGCGGCTCCAGTCGTTTTAAATTTGGTCCAATCAGTGCGTGCGGATAGCAGCTTTATTATTTTTCAAATTCCTTTCTTATGGCAGAAGTTTTGCATGCCAAAGGATCGGTTAAGGGTGAGATGTTTGATGATAGCGAGGTGAATATCAAAAGTGAATATTTTGATGTAAAGATGGAGGATATTCCCGCAGACAATTCCGATGTCTTTTTTGGTTCCGATTCTGATAATTTTTATCCTGGAAGTGAGCAGTACGGCGACCTATTTCTCATGGATCCTCATGATCTCCTGGGTGTTCAAGAAGAAGTTATCGGCAGTGAACCTTCAAATGCATCTGATGAAATCCTTGTTCCTACAGTAAATGAAGTAGTTTCTCCCCGCAAAATTACCCGACGATCAGCAGCAAAGTCCAAATCAGTAGTTCCCTCTGAACCTATCCGTGAATCCGTAGACACTTCTGATTCAGATGAATTCACCTTGAATGTCCCCATTCACCCGGCTGGTAGACAAAAAGCTTCTATAAATCCACAATCTCGTGTTCCCATTCAAATTTGTCCATCTTTTCCCTCTTCACGACCAAGAATTATTAAAATTTCCACTAATGCCTCCAGTAGTACTCGGTTGAATGTGATTCCACATTTTGGAGTTCCTACCCAAAGAATATTGGCTTTCAGAAGAAAATCTGATCTTGGACGTCAGTTTCTTCCTCGTGGTAAGTCCAGTCTACTAATTTGGACTTCCTGTCTATATTAAAATACATATCTATTTTTTTCGTGAACTATATAGTCCAAAGTCAGCCAGTTTCTCAAACTGCTAGTGTTCTATCAGTAAGGTCTGCTACCGCTACCGCAAAGCCAAAGAGCGTTTCTCGTGTTTACAATGCACAAAGATTAGGAGTTACTACTCCCTCTTCCTTCTCCACTCAGCATCATCGAGGCGTTGGTATACAGTCAGGTCGAGCTGTCGCCTGTCCTCACAAAAATTGTGGTAAACTTTTTCGTGACAACTCAGCGATGCGGAAGCATTTACATACTCATGGCCCCAGGGTCCACGTTTGTGCTGAATGCGGCAAGGCTTTTGTTGAATCTAGTAAACTCAAACGACACCAATTAGTGCACACTGGGGAAAAGCCATTCCAATGCAATTTCGAAGTGATTACTCTATCTATGTGTAAATTCGTTATCCATTTATCTTTGTATTTACCCTACTTTTCTTTTGATAACAGGGTTGTGGGAAGCGTTTCTCTCTGGATTTTAATCTCCGGACCCACTATCGTATCCACACTGGTGATCGGCCTTATATTTGTCCTGTTGAGGGTTGCTCAAAACGGTTTGCTCAATCTACAAACCTTAAATCGCATTTATCGACACACAACAAGGTTCGCTTTCGGTAAGCATATCCTAATGTTTTGGTATAATTTTTGTGTCATGTGTTCCGACAATCAACCGCACTGATATAACGTGCTTTTTATTTATGAGCAGCCCACATTTGTGTCATTTTATTTATCGATTTAATGTCTATTTCTTTCGGCGAATTTTTTGTCGAATCCGTGACTTTTATTGCGCTCATTTTAACTTCCTTTTGTTCTACGTACTTGGGTAGAATCTTCTAGATTATTAAAACCATTTGGCAAACATTTTTCGAATATGCGAATTGATAATTTGGCTTTTTGGTAATTAAATTTGAAATGAGGGTATTAAAAAGCCCTTTTTTTCAAATTTCCATGTTGATCGGTGGTACCATATTACTAAGGCTTTCTTTGTTTACGACTTTGGTTTAAATACGTTTGAATGGGTGTTTCGCAGTGGATATCGTTTTTAATGTGCAGATCTTTTGCATTCATGTGCGTTTTCTTTTTCACTTATTTCACAAATAAGCTCTTGTTTATTTAATATTAGAGGAAATCATGCTTTTTTAACTTTTTAAATTGCTTAAGTTGGTTGCAATCGTTGGTCCTCTCTATTTGAGAATGAATCTTTGGTTTTGAAGTGTTAGAGGTCGTAGTGTTAATGCCCACAAGTGCATCTCCATTGATGTGCTGTCAAGGGCAGCCGTTGATTCGAATCCACAGAATGGCTGATGGAATCAATGTTAATAATAGTTGCTCTCTGATGCCCCTCCCCCCTCTTAACCAAAGTGAAGTTTTGGTACCATTATTAATTGAATTCGCATCATTTTACTCATGTGTTCGTTGTCACAAGTTCGAAGCACTGGCTAAGTCTGTTTAATGAAAAGTTTAGTCAGAATTCAAGTTTAACCCACGTTGGATGCAGGAAAGCGTTTACTTTAAATTGCTTTGGAGTGTTTTTTTATTCATGCGTTCTGCATGGTCGTTTTGTTTAATTTATTGAAGCACTTGGTTGCCCTTATCTTGTCCTATCTAGTCCTAGCCCTAGGGTCAGAATTGATTATAACATATGTGCTCTTAAGTTAATTATTCCCTTTCTCCACTTTTAGTGGTCGAGGAGGTAGTTCGCAACAACAGACTTCCACAACGTCATCATCTTTTCTGCAGAGATCCGCCAACAGCAGCTCATTGCTTTTTGACGACGAATACGACCCATTTTATCAGAACACTTATCAGCAGAGTGGTTCATCAATTCGTTCAGTTATGCTCTCTTCAACCTCCCACACCTTCCCTGGAGAATTCGCCGAAAGCTCCCGTGTTCGGGTGGGCAGTAACGGCAATTCTGTCTGCATTCACTTTCCCTCCACAGGAATGATTTCTGAAGAGCCGGAAGACGATGTTGACATTAGCGACGAAACGACAGGATTAATAATCGATGAGCCGACACCCACCTCTTCTCGAAGCAGTGTTAGGCGAAAATGCAAGGTGGAGAGTGATCTCTTGAGTGATGCTAACTCTTTTTTATAGCAATGGTGGCGCATTATCAGTGTACTTTTCCTTCCCTCATTTTTTCCAAATCAAAGACTTATATTATTATACGTATTTATGCCACTCTAGCGCTCTCTTGTGATTTCTTGTCATGTGGATGAAGGGAGCTTAGGAAGTCTGTGGGGATTCTCGCCTATTCCTTCTCCCTTTCCTGCTCTTTTCGACTATGGACGGAATTGGCCACGATTTGAACATATACGAATGCTCTATATGTTCCCAAAACTATTTTTTCATATCATGGAAAAAACCTGAGCTTATTGTTCTTGCAGAGCATGATACAGTCTGCTTTTCTGTAGTCTTTTTAACTGTTTTTTAGTCATTTTTTGTTAATATAAAGTGGTCGAATTTACGGTAAGATTTATATATAGTTCTTAACCAGGTAGAAAGAGAAGGTATGTTTCAATCTTCCCTTTCTTGTGATATATATCGATGTGGTATTGAATGAAAAGGAGTAACGGGGATGGAATAAAATGTCCATCGTCGTATCTAAGCTGTTGACCCTACCAGACAATACACTGAGATTTTAGTTGAGTATATCAGATTGTGTTCCTCATTGATTTACCCCGCACCCGTGGTGGTTAATATATATATATATATGTATATATGTATTGTCATGTGCTACGCACATATTTCCTGGTCATCAAAAGTGGAGTGTTTGGTGACTTGCAGCGCCATCAATTCAATTTGTAATTACAGTGCTCTCCTCGCTCAATTCACTCTCATCAGTGGATTTAGGGGGATGTACACTCGCAGTGTTTCGCCAGCTTATTGGTTCTCTGTAATGCTCCTAATAAATCATAGGACTTTCAATCAGCAGGTAAATTATATTTGTTGCAATGGGGTTCTCTATTTGCCTCATGTTGTAACCTGATTCCTGGTTTTCAGAGATCACGGAGGAGTGCTTTTGGTTATTTGGGATGGGTTTAATTGCCTACTCTTTATGTGCGAGTAGACTTTCAAAATTGCCTAATTTTATAAAAGATTAGATTGGGTTATTTGGTCAGTAGATTGAGAAAATCATTTATTTTTCCCATCTTATTATGTGTCAGTACTAATCCCGACTTACTGAGATGTCGACCACTTCCCCACTTCACTGTCAGCTGCTTATAGCTTGACCTTTTCGGTGTTTTGACAGTAAAAATTGATATCAGTGACTAGTAGTTTTCAAGCGGGTTAGAACGTCAAGTCTTTGTTTGTAACATTGAGTTGCTCATAGTCATATCCATGATCTCCAAAAGTTATCTTGCAGGATTTGGATCATGGCTGTTTGGGTGCTTTCGTATATGCGGCATTCCCTGAGCTTATTGGCCGTTGTATTTGATTAAATGGCTAATCATATCGCTGTTTGGTTTTTTTATGTTCTGCCAACCATACGGATGTAGATTGGATGAGTGAACTTATTTCGGCTATTACAGAGATTAATGGAACTCATTTCGCACAATGACTACGTGATTTACTTCCTTACAAGATTAAGATGTTTGCTCTGTTGCCGGGTTTGAGTTGGGAAATCCGTTTTGCTATGACCCAGGTTAATTGAATTGGTGGTATAGACTGTTTGATTTCCAATAAGCTCAAACCTGATAACAGCGAAAATTAAGATACAAAAAGACATGCAACTCAATGCAGGTAGTTCTGTTCATATGCGTTTTCAAACTTATTCAATAATTGAACCAATGACAACATCGCGTTGCTATTCGCGAGTGTAAAGAATCAATATTGGAGAGCACAGTGGCAAGTAGGATACGTCTTCCTTGCAGCTTGCTACTTTTAATATACAAGTAGTATCTAAAGCGATCATTAAGCTGCATCATGTGAAAATTACCAATAACCTTATCTGTCAATCGAATCTACTTTCTATGCTGCGAAGTTAATCTTCGCTATAAGGAGCATGGGATGACGCATACTTAGGTTTTTTAAGGTTAAGGACTTGACCTTGTCACCCTTAATGGCTTCACTGCTATTTTTTAAGCAGTGGGTATACTGTTACCTATCGTCATCACAAGCAAGTTAGGTGGTAGAATAAGGTTTGATTAATTTAAAAGGGAATCCAGGCAATGGCCAATGGGACTAAAATAAGTCGAGAGAAGAAAAAGAAGGTGAGCAATAAATTTATGAGCTAGGCGATCGAAACAAATCGGTGAACAGATAAGAGTTTTTCTAAGCTAGGCATCAACTCGCGTATTAATTAAAGAAAAACATATTTGCTGACCTATAAAAAAAGCTATATAGTGAGAATTTGCTTGTATTTGCTTTGCATGCAGCTCAAATTATTTGTTTCCACTCTAATTCTCCCCTTTATTGCTCAATTAGCTAATCAATTTCATTTGGAATTTGTGTATGCCACCACACACACACTGCTACTGAATACTTAAAAGTAGGCCAAACTCGCAACCAACAAGCAGACCAACGTGAACCTGGGATCGAAGATATGTTCTACCAGAGACTGGCGCGGTCATTGTCACTCCTCTCTCCTTATACTCTTTAGGCTTTCCTAGTTCACCTTTTCGTTATTCTCACTCATATTGCTTGCTTTATGGCCTTTCATACTCTCACTCCGTGTCGCGTATAAGATGCGCTACGTTCTCTAATTAAATTTACTCACTGATTTCTGCCTTCTTTCTCCTTATTGGGTTTGCTCATTCTCATTTTAAACGTCCACCCCCTTAACTTTGTTTACCCCACTGTATCCGAACGCACCCTATTCGTGGTGCAATAGTAATACAGGTCAATGCACGCTAAAAAACTGGTTTTAATTTAAACGAGGATGGTTATTGGAGGCATAGTAACTTCAGGCCAAGCCATCCACTCCAATTCTCCTTTTTGGGATCTGTCCTGAAGGGGAGGGGGTGGCAGAGCCCATTTGTGTTAGTTACTAGATGAGGAGAGACAAGCCTGTATCTTATGACCTCTAATCTAATCGCCCCATATACGCCACAGCGTAATCAACGCCTTACAAGCAGTGGTAGGTCATTCTAAAGCAGATTTCTTGATTATAAGTTAGTATGCGACCTTAAATACTTGGAAGGCCCTTAAACAGGAGCCTGTCAGCTATGTTAACAAAGGACGTCAAAATTGCTTACACTTGGCAAGGCATGACCCGTGACGCATACGGCCGACCACACTGGCTTGGTGTAAGCAATGAAGAACGCGTTGCCAGATGATTTTCTTACGGGGTGTGCGATAGATTTACCTCCACGTGGTGCAGCCTGGGCAACGTATATTCATGCGGCATAAAAGTCTATAAACCGGAAGTTGGCTTCTGACTTCAAACTACCATCACCCCTCTGTATGTCATATTCGACTACTTCCACAGTACTCACCTCACCTTTCATCTACCTTTGTGTCTGTCTGACTCTTCTGTTCACCCCCCCCCCTCTCGACTTTTTTCACTTTGATATTCCTTCTCCTTTGGGAAGGCTGAAGTCAACTAAAGGGCTAATGATAACCATCAAAACACCTGCCATTTGATATAAATAAATAAATGATTTTCTTACAACTCTTGAGACGCCAATGTCTATAATATAGTTCTTTTTAGGCATTGAATGTTGTCCCTCAAAATGAAAAGAACTTTTCTCCAAATGTACTAAAATGCCCCGTCATTTATCCACCGAAATCATAATTACGATATTGGTTGAACATTTATGATAATTGAGGGTGGTGAGTGGGGGGGGGTGTTTTTTCCTCCATTTTCAATGAGCATGTAGCACTTATAAGCATTAAAATATTCGGTTTACTCATGGAAAATAGCTGTAACTTACACATGTCCTGGTATTTTATCGATGGTTGTGTATTTTGAATTGCTCAAATTTGGCTCACAATCTTGATAGCCCAAACGGGGGCATGCTCGCCAACATTGCGAATGTTATCACGGTTCAATGTCTCTACTTCCACGTTCCTCTTGCCACTGTACCATTATGTTCTTCTCTGTCCATCTTTCCACCATTCCCTTATAGATTATCATGGACTTCCACACTAATTTGCCTTACGTGCAATACACGGATTTTAACTATGCTCTCTTCAAAATCGGCAATATTACTGGACTTTCATGAGATGAAAGGGAGTACGTAGTTACATTAAGTTGAACTTTCTTTATTGCGGACTAAGAAAGAGTCATTGAATGGGAAATCAAAGGCGATAACTTGTCGCTGATATAACTTCTAATTATAAGGGGTGTGAGATAGACTTACCTCCATGTGGTACACTCTAGGCAACGTATACTCATACGGCAAAAAAGTCTATTAATCGGCAGTTGGCTTCTGACTTCAAACTACTAAGACCCCACTGCATTTCATATTCGACTCCTTACACAGTACTCACCTCACCTTTTTTCTACCTTTGTGTCTGTCTGTCTCTTTTACGCCTGTGAATCATTATTCTGTTCCCCCTCCCTCTCGACTTTTTTGCCACTTTGATGTTCCTCTTCCTTTCTGTGAAGCTTGAAGTCAACTAAAGGGCTAATGATACCTATTATAACGCCTGCCATTTGATATATATATATATATATATACTTCTAATTATAATGCTAAGAAAGTGGTTAAATGGCTTGTTTGAAGGGAATAAGCTGGACTAAGATAATTGCTCGATGTTGCGTTCGGGTTCAATTTCTACTACGATTGTAATATTTTCTTTGTTTATTTCAAACCAACAAGATATATCTCACTTCATAATTAAAATATAGTTGTTAATCCACCCAAATTTACTATGTTTAGTCACCTTAAACTGGAACCTGATTTCAACATGATATCGTCACACTTCAGGACACTGTTGTATTTCAATTTAAAGACATCACATCCAAGCAGCCAGACAACAACTCCTAAGATCGGCTCAAGCAAGCAGTTATCACAAGAGAAACGGCTACACCAACTCTTTCCACAAGTCGAACTCGGAGATCGCTGTCCTTCTCAAATCTTACCCTGCATGCGCTCCTTAGCTAGTGGCTACGAGTTGAACGACGCAATTCTGAAGGAATTCTGATTGAA